ATCTCATCCATGGTGCAAGTTCATCATCAGTTCCTTAACAGACACAGTTTGAAGAGATATATTATAACATTGTTTTCTATGTTTTTATAAACTTATAAAAATACCTTTTAGTATTAATGGTTCATTTAAACTAACGTAAGGCCAATCTTCAAGAATAAAATTAGTTTTTTTTAATGGCTGAGATGCATTTTTTATATGGTAGTCTAAAGTTTTCTGTGTTTCTTAAAAAAATCATCAAACCTATATGTTAATGATACAGGTATTATTTTTGTTACATAAAATATTTATAACTTACTGGAATTATGCAACACCAATTTAGTTTGCCTGTTAAATATGGTTTTGCCTACGTCTAAATTCAAAGATATATTTTTTCCACCTAACCAATGGTTTTTTGCTGCATACACAATAAAGTTTTCAACATCATTAGCTTCCCTATAAGAAAAGTTTCTATTTCACAATAAGTTATAGGTAATAATTCATCTTAAGCTTAAAAATATATTTTAATCTACAATGTAGGTACCTATATAGAATATTAGTGAGTAGGTACCTATAATCTGCATGAAAGCAATTATGATTGTGTGTTTGTATATAAAATTGCACTGAAAAAAAATTATTTTTAAGGAATTAAAAATATAAAATTGTAAAACATTTAATAATTAACAATTTAAATATTTCAAAATTGGAAGCACAAGGATTAACAATTATAATAAATATTAAAATCGGAGTTTAAATATAATATGTATATGTATTAGGTAGGTACTAAATAAAAAAAATATGTTATAATATAATATGTGTGAAAGTGTTTATAGCAATTTAACTGTATACAGCTATAGCTAATATATTATAGTAATATCTATTAATTAACTTTTGAATTAAATACAATAGAAGTTTATTATTATGAGGTTTGTGTTACCTAATTACTTTTATAGTTTTATGTGTTGAGAATTTATATTAGACTGRATAATGAAATGTAATAATTTAATTTCGTATTAAAATGTTTATGTATATTTTCAGAGGTCGGGAGTAACTCGCTAATATTGTAGCGACTCTTCAGAGCTAACGTCGCTATAATAATATACATACCTACGTAGGTAATGTAGCGAAATATTATACTGCGCTAGAAATTTCCATTATTTTATCGCTACTTCGAAACTATTTCATGATAATAAAATATTATGATAACGGTTTTTTTGTTTGGAGTTTTGTCACAAAATACATAAGAAACATTGAATAAACCTGCCTTTCAAAAATACAAGAAATCAGAAGTTGCAGCCGTTTCAGGTATTAAAAAATAATGACCAAGTGAATATCTAAATAAATCAAGAAAAAAATGTAGCGAAAAAGTAACGCGCTTCATTTAAACAATAGAATAGAAAATATCGTTCTACATTTTCAAAAAAAAAGCTTTAACGATGGTGAGATAATTTTTGAGGGGAGTAGGTAGCAGAGTAGCGTT